ACAGACAGACAGACAGACTGAGACACACAGACAGACTGAGACACAGACAGAGACACAGACAGACAGACAGAGACACAGACAGACTGAGACACACAGATTATTGTCGGTTTAGTGAATAACTCATTCAGATCATTTTAAAATTGGTTCATTAAATGTTCTGAATCTGAAACATGTTTGACTTTAACACATTTCATTTGACTTTTGCTCTAAATTACTTTAAACACACAGATCCTCCACTAGATGGCGCCACCAGTCTTCTCTGCAGCTGATTTCGTTTTGTCCTGTTGAGTCTCGTGTAAACTTTCGATTCAGGATCTGAAGGTTTTTTTTCACTGTCTCATTAATTTAACCTGAGAAACATTAACATCCAACATCAGTGAAGAAACTCATGAGAGAGAATGTTTCCACATCACATCTCATACTTTTCCTCTTCATCAGTTTTCCATCAAACACGTCAGCTGATCTTCTCTTCTGGTTTTAATATGGTGGCTGAGTGACGGGTCAGAGGTCAGCTGACAGTGTGTGATTGTGTTTAAAGTGATGAGAGTGTGTGTGGTTGAAGTCAGACTGTGTGTTGACAGGACGACGCTGTGTGTTAATATTAGACTCGACTGTAACTCACCGACACCGATCCTGATACACTCTGTCTTTATCTGAAGGCCGAGCGAGCTTCTCTCTCTCTCTCTCTCTCTCTCTCTCAAACAGACGAGGATCAGAGTATTACTAACACAGCAACAAAGTAAAAGTACTTTGTTACAAGTACAAGTCATAATTGTAGAAATCCCTCCAAAGTAAAAGTATTTATTCTGCATTAAATCCAATAGAAGAAGAGCACTTCATTTAAATAAAACTTTAGTTGGATTCACATAAAACATAAAAGCATGAGGACAGGTTGTAAAAGCAACAAGTGAAAAGTTTCAGTAATAAAGAGAAACAGAAAGAAGTTAGATTTACAGTAACAGGGTATTTAACGAGTGAACGGCAGCAGCGAACAGACGTAAAAGAACCGACACTGTAAAGAATCGAAATCAGCGGCTGTGTTTCAGAACACAGAGAATGAACGTTCGTCTCATCGGAGAATCAAACTGTGACTGTGGCTGACATGGTGGAAGAGCGGCAGCTTCTCCACCTGACCACTTCTGTTACTCGGATATAACGCTGCCCTCTAGTGGACCTCGAGAGCTCGTGGTTACGATGCGGGACGTCTTGCGCAGTTTTGTCCTTGAACACCAGGGGCTTATGGGAAATGGTGTTCATTGTGATTCTGGGTTTTCACTTATTAAAGTGAATCCATAGTTTCTGTGCCAGGCCAGTCTGCCAGGGGGCGCTATGGTCCTCGAGACATACATGTCTTCATCCACTCATGTCCACTTGGGGGGTTATATATACATATATATACATATATATACATATATATATGTATATATATTAAAACTACGGTGGGTCAAAACACAACAACACTTACTGTGTAATGTGTGTGTATGTGTGTGTGTGTGTGTGTGTGTGTGTGTGTAGTGGTCGACAGCACCCCCTCTCCCCCTCCTGACAGCAACAGGTGAGTCGTTGTCGTGGTAACTGTATCTAATGTGTCAGCATCAGAAAACTGGTCTGTCCAGATACCACACACACACACACACACACACACACACACACACACATCCCCTACAGGCTGCTCGTGTCATTACACCGTGGACACAATGTTCCCTCCCGTCCTGAACATCTGTCCTCGTGCTGGTTTAAAAGTTAGAAGTTTAAAAGTTTCTGTCCCGTGAGTCATGTGACGGACCCTCAGGCTGACGTGGGGCCCCTGTGAAGGGCCCCGACCCTGATGTTGAGAACCTGGACTGACGTGAAGCCCCTCGTAGAGTTCGGTTTAGTTTTAGTTCACTTGTCTCACGTCATTTAATTCAGACTCTGGTTCTACATTAACTCTGAAGAACTTCTCATGATGAGTTGAAAACACGTTCTACTTTTATTCTCTTATATTCTACATGTCTTAGTTGTGTTTTTATTTTAGAGCAAGATGGCAGCTCCTTCCTGTCCTCTT